CCGCGGCCCACTGCTCTTAACGCAAAAATAAGCGCCCGTGAAAAAGAAAAAAAAAACGACGTTGAGACGTGTACCACAAGCGCAAACGAAGATATCAGAAAAAGCGAGGAAAAGCTGCGTTGAAGGGCGGATTCTCCCGCCATAATATTTACTGTTCATCGCCCACCAGCATTACTATTCGTGGTCGCCCGTTTCGTGTCTGTGACACCGTGTTAAAATTTCTTTGCGTTTCCTCGCGTATGGTACTTAAAAGTTTGGCGCCATAACCATTGCATATTGCCATCATCGGGTCCATGCCGTTCTCATCAGACTTCCGCCCCGCCTGTGAATACGCCGTTCAATAGACCCTTTCTGGAATTCAGACTGGCCACATTGATCAATATCATCATCATCTGAAAACGGCATATGTGCTATACTAATGGCGGCCTTCCGTTTACTAAGGAAGGAAGAAGTTGAAGATGCTCCTAAGCAGATGATTCGAGGCCTATACACGTTTGCAAGAAAGGCTCCTGTGCGCTGCCATTTTGAGCGACGCTGGCGCCCCGTACCGTTTCCACCATGCTGGGGTGCGCCAGGGGCACGTCACTGGGGTGCGCGATGACAAGATGGTGCTGTTTGCTGCATCGCCGATGGCTTACGTTAGCGGCACACTTACTGTCTCGGAACGCAGGAGGAGGTATCCACACAGAATCGTAGCGTCACATATTGTAGGACGGGGCATCTTTCAGGGTTGGAGCTGACTTTATAACGATCGCAGCCTCTGTTCCTGCATGTTGTGGAAGCCAGAGCTGCCGCGAGCGCAGCCATCGTTGATGCAAAGACCATGCGACTTTTGGCGCATTCTGAAGATAGCGCCTTGAGACTTTAGATCTTTTTGAAAATTTTCGATTTGTTACCGCTTTAGGCATTTTATTTAATTGTCCTTGCTATTTCGCTGTCGAAGACGACACGTGTACGTTTTATAATTATTTCTTAAAATTTCTTTCTGCGCTCAGTGGTGTACGCTTCGGCGAGAGACGCTTGGCAACAATGTACGACAACCAGTGAACGTCCTGGCTGGAGAGTAGGTCCGCCTCACCTTGGCGCGCGGTTCGAGGTTAAGCCGGGATCCCACTTGCAAAGGTGTATACATAGATGTTAGCGCGGCGGGAAGTAGGAATTGGACGCAAGAGCTGCGTAAGCGTTCATTTCTAACTCGGTCCCAGTCAATCTGTTAGTAGCACTCACTCGGCTTCAGAGCCCCTTGATGTACAGGGTGTCACAAAAGAAAATTTACAGGGTTTCTTTCACCGCAAAAATAAACTAGGCATCACCGAACGCTCATCCTCCGCCCAAAGGTAGCGCTAGAGGTCACAACCAGATGCCAAAGTTTCAGCCCGATTCGATAAGTTAATCAAAAGTTATAAGTGATTTTCTGAAATTTTCAATGGGAAAATGGAGCCCTTTTTTGCCCGTTTTCGGTTTCTGGTGCCCATAGAGCCCCATGTATTCGAAAACACCGTCGGGCGCCATTTTCCCATTGAAATTTTCAGAAAATCGCTTATAACTTTTGATTAAGTTATCGGATCGGGCTGAAACTTTGGCATCAGGTTGTGACCTCTAGCGCTACATTTGGGCGGAGAATGAGCGTTCAGCGATGCCTATTTTATTTTTGCGGTAAGAAATACCGTGTAAATTTTCTTTTGTGACACCCTGTACATAACTCTATCAAGGCGTCTATGTGGGGTTGGCGCTTCGTTCCGACTGGCTGCATTTGTTTCGCCATCGACACTAAACGAGATTGGAAAATAATTGTAGTGAAGTGCACATTCTCGTTTACCGTTGACTTGCGAAAGTGACGGTACACACTTAAAATTTTAACACCCTTATTGGTGTAAAAGGCTTGTCCTATGGGGAGCACCCTTATTCGTGTAACAGAACACCCTAGGAAATGGGTGTAAGTCTTAGCATTTTAAAGGGGGACCAGCAGAAATACTCTTTCGCCTGGCGGAAAGTCCTCCTCGCCCTCTTTCTTTCTTGTATTGTAACACGGCGAGGAGAGGGGGTCCCCTTTTGCGCCGGCTTCTTCTGAGAGGATAAGCCGAGAAAATCCCCATTCTGAGCGACGGGCGATGGGTGCGGCAGCAGCGACCTCGTGACTTACAGGTCGCTGCTGCTTCGTGACTTACAGGTCGCTGCTGACTTCGAGCAATGAACTGGTTTTCTTACTGTGCGTGACACAGCTAGCACGAACACAATTCATATTGACATTTTTACGCAAGGGCCTTGCAGAATTTGTGTATAAGAACAAATTGATGCCTCGTAAGTTGGTGCCCAACGGAAGCACTCTTTACCGAATTGTTTTTTTGTTTTTTTTTAAATAACAACTTCTCAAAAATAAAAATAAAACAAAATAACACCACTTTTTTGGGGGCCACTAAATTTACTGATTCACTCCGTTAGCGTTGATCGTGCAGCGGTATGCGTACATTACGCGACACTGTTAGCGCAAACACGACATCGGCGCTTTTTGCTTTTTTCTTCAGCAATGTATTGGCTCGCACTAAAATCTATCGCTTAGGCTGGATATACATACTCGCATTAACAGTTTCCTAAACATCATTCACTTCTAACAAGAAAAACAAAAGTGGGAAACATCGGCGATAGTTTGTTTGTGCTAACCGTGGCGTAGGATACCTAAAAGTTTTTTACAATGTTAAATACAATTCTGTGTCACGTTAAAAAAATTGTCTGCTTTTGCTTTAGTTTCTTTGAGACACCACAAATACTTCGAAGTGGCGGCCCGCGCTATGGTACCGATACAAGCAACGTTGAACCATAACACGACACGCGAGACTCGCCAAAAAGGGTTTTAATATTGTCTTTTTTGCTCCATAGCCGCACTCGATGAAGAACGTAAACAGCGAGTCTAGCTTACATTTCGTTGTGGGGTACGGACCGTACGCTTATCTAAGCGGCTAAAAGCGACCCATCAAAACATTCTAAAATCGACATCCACCCTTGATGCCCTCTCACCTCAGGTGGTTGTTGGGAATGTGTAAATATGAATTTCATACATTTTGCTGGCCATCATGTTCTGCGAGTTAGGCACAAAACAGGGCATTTTAGTAAATCGTTTTCCAAGGCCCGCTGCCACTTCAGGCGCGCGCTTCGGAGAATGCATCGAAGTGGCAGCGCGAGCTCCCGCTAAATATAGCGTGGCCTGAAAACATAAGAGAGTTTTAGAATAGGGGGCCCCAACGCTTTGGGGGACCCAACACTTTGGGGTACCCAAAGCAACGACACCTCACGCAGCGTGCTTATAGAATAGGGTTTGTGAAAACGCAACGCAGCACGCTCGCCTTTTTCGTATGCAGCGCAATTGTGGACAACAAACGAACTTCTTAACAGTGAAAAATTATTAAAACGCAAAACATTTGCGCTGAAACGACATTTTATTGTGACATGCGGTACAAATAGTAGGGAGGGTAACACCAGTTGGAACAAATAAACTCACTTCTGGCAAATAATAAATGTTCGGCAATTTGAAGTCAAGACAATGCAAGTGCTTGTCGTGTTTCACTTCCTTCTCGCGCCTTGTTTGACTTCTCGCGCTTTCGCTCAACTATGCCACGGCGGCTGGGTCTTTCGCGCGCTGAAGTTCCAGAGGCCTTGACCGCGGCAGCGTCCTGTGCGACCAGCTTTTGTGTTTGGATTTGAGCTGGGCGGACTTAGAAGACCTTTTCCTTCACTATCGGGAGCCGGTTCCACGGCAGTACAAGTCGAGTGGCGGTTTACTGGACATCAACGTCCTGGAAGAAGAAGACTTCCGGAGGATGTTCCGCTTTCATAAGTCACATCTAGATTTGTTGAAAGCGGCACTTCAAATTCCAGACATCGTTGAAAGCAGCCAAGGTGTGAAAGTGTCTGGTATCGAAGCTCTCCTGATGGGACTACGCCGCCTCGCTGTTATGTTTTAGGGGGGGTACACGCGACGATCCCCCCTGGTCCAGCTACATGTCAAGGACGAGGGTGGCCGGCAAGGGCGCAACTCACCGGGCTGCCCAACGGGGCCCCATGACGCGAGCCGGGCCGGTGGTCGGATCGTCGGATCAAAGAGACATGTCGTCGGGTCAACGTTCGGGCCAAATCTCTGAGCGAGCTCCTCGAGCCGCCCCAAGCAAGCTCCTCGAGCCGCCCCATTTATTTACACACTCCCGTAGATGTCGCTATTTTGCAACACTACATTTCTCCTCCCCATAAAATGACAGAGGAAAACGTGCTACCGCTCGTGAAGCCAACTGAAACGCTGTACATGGAAGATACGCTGACACTACATTTCTCCCTTCCATGAATTGAAAATGTTAGGAGAACACTGCTTAGAAAGTTGAACTTTTCACTTCCTGATCGTTTCCTACCCCAACAGGTGGTGGGACCTGGAGCCAGCTTTCGACCGGCACTGTTCTACGATGTCAAGCATTGTTGCGAAACTGTTCGGACATATTGAGAGCACCTTTGGGCACCTCCTCGACGACCTCACAACACACCAGTGGCTCAGCGTGGACGACCTCGCCGATTTCGCGGATGTGAGTGCAGGCATTCCGGTACTTAATGCAAGGTGTAAAAATTGCAGTGAAATTATCGACATACGTAGTTCATTTACAAAGTGTTCGAGATAAGGGCGGCTTGATGAGCAGCAAAATAATTCTGGAATTTTTAAGAAAAATTGTAATGACAAGAGCTCGCTGTGTGCTGACTGCCTGAGTGGCTCCTGCGTTTATACTCGTGCTAACGCATTTAACCCTGCAACCTTAAAAACTGCTAAAAGAAATGTCGTTGTATCATCGTACGTTCAAAAAACAATGTTTTCCTTGCAGGCCGTTCACAACAGAGGTGCTCCTCTCAACAATTGCTGGGGCTTCGTGGACGGCACAGCAAGACCCATCTGCCGACCGTCTCTAAATCAGAAGATTTACTTCTCTGGTCACAAGAGAGTGCACGCCCTCAAATACCAGGCTATCATGTGCGCCAATGGAATTATTTGCGAACTCGACGGGCCATTCCCCGGTCACAGGCATGACGCTGGTAGGTGTAGCTTGCTTTTAGTCCATCCTGTAGCTGAGGCAGCACGACTGTTATGGAGAGTTGGAGACCCCAAAGAAGTAGGGCTCATCACTGCGCATGCGCAGAACCCAAACTCCGTTTGGGGTTTGGGGTTGGCGCGCGCCCCCAACGTGAAATTCGAGAAATAGCGCGGGGCCCCCAATTGCTTGGGGCCGGGTTGTGTCATCAAACATGGCGGCGCCCTTTCCGCTCGCTTCGGAGCAAATTCGTCATGGTCACTGCAGTATTTGCCAATTTCATTTCCAATGAATAGTGCAACCGGCTTTCGCTTTGCTTTATCTCGCTCAACTCACAAAGAGTGAGCGGTGGGCTCGCCCCATTTTAAAGATCGTTCCTGATTCTGGCCGTTCCTAAGCCTAAACATTCGTCGTAACTGTTGACATGGTAACGTCTTGCTACTCCGTGGCTAAAGACTTGTTCCTAGAGACCCGTTTTCTTACGTTACGTTACGAAAAGTCACCGGAAAATTTGTGCTTCGTATTAAGCGTGGCTATTAATTCAAGGAGAGAGCCTGGCACGCGACATTCGAGACGCGATAGTTTCGGTGACTTAGACGTCACGTAAGAAGACGTTGCTGTGTGAAAAGTGGAACAGGGCTCAACTCCTTATGTTACGTTAGGACGAGCCTTGTGTCCTTGGTTGTCACGGTACCTCACCGTCCTAGCTCGTCACCAAATCATTCTTGACTCTACATCTTGTGCCAGACTATCTCCTTGAATTGGTGGCCACGCTTAATACGAACCACTGATTTCCCGGTGAAATTTCGTAACGTACCGTAAGAAAGCGGGTCTGTGTGAACCAGCCTCAAGATTAAACAGCGCACAAAACGTCGGAGGAAGAGAAAAGTAGAACGAAGGAGCGCTGACTCGCACCTGATTTATTTAGAAAGAGTAGAAAAGAAGAAAAAGGATAAAGGATAAAGGAAAACAAATAAATAAATAAAAATTCTAAAACTCTTTATTGCAACAGTGGTTGATTTAGAAACGAAAAGCTAAAAAAACATTTGTTAACCAGGACCTAGTCTATTTATCTCCGAAAATTCCTCTCGCATATACTATTCCACAGGTGACATGTCATGTAGCGGCAAGATCATGTTATAATGCTGTCATGTGTACATCGCCGTTGACATGTATTTAGAAAATTGATAGTGCCAGACTAGCTATGTAGCCACAGACACACAACTGCACAGTGAAAATGATTTCTAACTGCAGCAGAGCGTAGTAGTTGCACCTTTACCAACTACGAGATTACAGAAATGTTTTCGGCACATGGAGGTAGGTGCTCACGAGTGTCACCTATTTTACAGTCATGCTTCGAGAAAGTGGGCTGTACGACAAGCTGGAGCGGCTGGTACAGGGCTCCACGTTCACTATATATGGCGACCCTGCGTATCCGCTGCGGCCTTTGCTGATGCGGCCATATGCTGGTGTATCTTTAACTGCGCAGCAGCAGGAATTTAATAGGGCCATGAGTACTGTGCGCCAGGCCGTCGAATGGGGGTTTGGCAAAACTCTTTCTTTGTTTTCATTTGTAGACTTTAAGAAAAATCAGAAGCTCCTGCTACAAAATGTGCCACAAATGTATCGGGTGGCAACAATCCTAACAAACTGCCACACATGCCTGTATGGCAGCCAGGTAGCCATGTTTTTTTGATTGCGGCCACCGTCTTTGGATGAATACCTGCGACAAACCTGATTTTATCATGTACATACTGATTATTACGTGATCTGTATATGGACTCCTAGGATTTCCTAAATAAACCCCCTGAAAGTGTACGCACTGTGTGTCCCTTTACTCAGCTGCGTGTTCTTTGCTCTGGGTAAGGTTATAGTAATGATTTATTCACTTTGCTTGTGGGATATGAACGACCTGATCACTTGTAAGAGAGCCTCCTGCTGTGCCAGAAAGATGCGTCGCTCTTCGGCCCGTTCTTGGCGCTCCCGCTCACGCTGCTGTTGCCGTTCAGCAATCTCTTCAAACCTCAGACGCCTCTCTTCTGCCTGGACCTCACACTCCTCATGCCACTCCCTGGTGTGTTGTTCCAATTTTTCCTTTTCCCGCTCCAGACGCATTTCCTCAAGGCGGAGCCTCCGCTGCTCAGTTTCATTTTCTTTTTCTCTCCAGCTGTTTTCATGCTGGAGCCGCCTCTGGAAAAATGCCAGGTTGCTATACGAAGCCTTCCTTCGAGTAGGACCTGCGAATAACAGAAACGACAAGCGCGTTACATCAGTCATTATGCCTTGTCCCCTCACAAGGAAGACGAGATAAGTTGTGAATTCAATAAAGGTGTAATGCATGCGTTTAGGTGATTCAGAACTCACCTCGCCTTCCTTGTTCAGCAAACGATTCCCTGCTACAGCTAAGGAGCTGAACGTCTGTTGGCGGTAGCGAAGCATTGGGGCCTCTTTGGCGGCCGTTGACGCCATGGCCTGGCTCGCTGCCGCTGGGCATGGTGTTCTGGACCCTGCCGGCGTCCTCGATGTTGCCTTCTGCAGGCCCCAGGTCATCTGTAAGTTCCTCTACATTGTAGATTTGCTGCATAGCTTGTGACACTGCCGTTGTTGTTCCCTCCAGCCCTGAAAGATACAGGACAGCTGGCGTATTATGAGGAATACACACTGAAAATAGCACTAAGGGTCTACATTTTTAAAGTTCAAGGATACCGGAAACTCTGCATTTGATTTATAGACAGGTTCTGTACCCTCCACACACTTGAATAGTGACCACAAAATGCAGTACGTACGATAGTGCTGAGACACAAAAAAACTAGCACCCATTCATTTCCCACTAATGCCTGTTGCACTCATTCAGTTTTGATTTGACAATATTAATACATTAGATCACGCATTATATCGTAGCAAAATTTGCGTTAGTGATATATTTCGCTTGTCATATGCCAGTTTGCACACTACATCAATAGGCTACTGCATCGAAAAAGGTACACACCGCGGCACAGTTAGCACCAACAAGCCATCGCCTGTTTCTCCTGTCTTTCCTTTACAAATAGAAGGCTTTTAAAACAATCTACTGGTATGCTGAGAAGGTCTCACTTGGGGCACCAACTTCGGCGCTGAAAATTAGCATATTCCTAATAATTACAAAAAGGAAAAAAAAAATCGTGGACGCAGTGTTTGCGTGAGCAGAAATGGGCTGTAGATCTCAGAGGAGGCCTTCGAGCCAAACAGGGTGCTCACATGGGCTGCATGTCTCCGGAGACGTCTGAAGACTGTCTTGGCCAACCGTGCACACGGCCGCCGCTGCATTCCTGGCCGCAGACACGTTGCACTTCTCAGCTGCAGCTCCGGCCCGCGCCAGTGGACGGGAACAGGTCGCCTTTTTTGTAGCCGCTCTCTTGATCTTGTAGCCGAATTCGGTCGCCAAATCACTGACATCTTGAAGAAGTTGACACTTTTCGTCGTATCTTTCTTCAGTGCCGGACCTGCGATGGTATCGTGTAACGTTTAAACCGCGTTAGCTGACAGCCTGTAAAGCACGCACTCAAAGGCCACATCTTTCACGATCGTAGTTGGGTAACGAAGTTCGCGAATGAATCCGATAGAAAGTGTACTTACTTTCTTAGATTCGTGCGATCATCGTATGCAAACTGTGCCAGCAGCAGGTCGACCCGGTCGCGGATGGCCCGTGTAGAAAAATTTCTTCCAATTGCTTCGGAGACCCGTTCGGCAATTGAAGTCCATCTCCTGGAATCCTGGAATGGATTAGTGGCGCACACTTCGCGTAGCACATAAATGTCATCGTCGATCGAGAAGCGAACGCGCGCGGGAGCCTTCTCTTCCGCCATTTTCTTCTGGCCTTGGATCGGCCTCGACTCGTTCGGCCATCTCTCTTCGGGTGAAGCCGAAACAATCCAATCCGTAACGCTCTAATTTGGCGCTTGTTCTCCTGGTAACATAGAGAGTTGAGCTAGGTGTACTTAGAAGACATACCTAAAACAGCGCACAAGCACAGGAGGAAGATAACAGAACACAGGAAGGGGCGCTGACTCCCAACTTATATATTCTGAAAGAGAAAGAGGAAGCTCCAGAAACGAAGCAAACGTTGTTGTTTTTCTTCTTTTTTCTCGTCTTTTTTTTTTTCGTTGGTGACCTTATAATGTCAGTTTTCTCTTCTTTTACTGCAACTTAGTAATGTATCTGTTTTTATTCTTTCTTCTTTTTACCTTGTGGGTGTACGTGGCTTTCATGTCTGCAGCATCCTCTTTCTCTTTCTTTCACAATACATAAGTTGGGAGTCAGCGCTCTTTCCTGTGTTCTATTTTCTTTTTCCTGTGCTTGCGCGCTCTTTTAGATATGGCTCGTTATCGAATTTTTTGGGCGTTCGTGTGCGCTCTGACCTTCTGCCGCCGAAGATTTAGGCCTTCAACTATGCCGAGACTGAGACGAACGCGAGCGAGCATACTCTGCGAGCAGCTGCACCATTTAAATCTGAGCTGGAGCGACTTTGAAGCCTTGATATGCTTGTTTTCAAGGTACAGGTATCGTGCCACGAACGAAATCCACTCAGAGCCACGGAGTGGCCATACGTTGTCATGTCAACGGTTACCGCGTATGTTTAGGCTTAGAAACGGCCAGAATCAGGGACGATCTTTAAAATGGGGCGAGCCCACCGCTCATTCTTTGTGACTTGAGCGAGATAAAGCGATGCGAAAGCTGGTTGCACCATTCATTGGCAATGAATTCGGCTAATACTGCAGCGACCATGACGAATTTACTTTGAAGCGAGCGGAAAGGGCGCCGCCATGCTTGCCGAAGCAACCCGGCCCCAAGCACTCCTTTCTCCCCGGCGTTATGCCAGTAGTAGGGAGTTTTTGTAGACCGCGTTGCCCCTCCGCTAAGCACTCCAGAACGAAGAAGCCGCTGCTGCGCCTGCGCGCCAGTGGCCTTGACTGTAGAGTTTCGGGTATCGTAGCGGGTTGCGGGAACCGTTGCAGGACAGCGAAAACCATCTACGAAAACTCCCTAATGAGCGTCTGCGGTTTTGCGAATTGCGTCTGGTTTAGGCTGTTTGGAGCATGCGGTGGTGTATCCGAGAACAGACGACGCTTCCTTCTCCCCGGCGTTGTGCCAGTAGTGATAGGGAGAGGCTGATGTTTTGCGAATTGCGTCTTGTTTAGGCTGTTTGCAGCATGCGATGGAAAGAAGGGGGGGGGGGGGGGGGTGGCTCTGGGGTAGAATAACATCACGAAGAAATGCATCACAGTGACATCTCATTTGTTTCCGACCGAGAAGTTTCTGTGAGGGAAGCGGGTCCGAGCTGTCCGAAGCGAACCCTGGCTCCTACCGTAAGCGTCGTGCTAGAAAACAGTTCACACCTTGCTGACAAATAAAACCTTTCGAGTCATTCTGCTTCGAAGAGGCATCTGGGTACACATGTCGGCGGATCGCGAATGCAGCCTCCACGGGAAGTCCCCTAGGAACCTATGCCGGCGGATCGAAGGCGAACGGCGAATCGTCTGAAATCTCGTGCTGAAAATCTCAAGACATTTGTTGGTCGTCGCTTGACTAAGAAAAGCTTGCTGAATCGTAGTTCATTATTTCCCACGGGACGATCGCGACGGCCTTTTGACTCCTGACGCAGGGCGAAGAGGCTTAAGCTGCACAAGGCTGATGTTTTTACAATATTTAACGTCACAACAAGATGGCAGACCGCAGGAGTCCTTCTTTAAAAGGGTACTCCGGCGATTTCTTGAGCTACTCCAACTAACAATATTTTCGGAATCACCAGTATTTACCCTTCTCTGGTATGCTATATAGTACCGCGAAATTCAGAATAGTTACTGTGAAATCGACAAGTGAAATTGATGTCAAAACCAAGATTCGGGTATATCCGCGCTTTTCACTGGCGTGACATTAGGGGAAGGCAGGCTCACAGGTGGAGTGGGCAGTCTAAAAATGGACTATGCCGTGCATTTGTTTCGTGCTACTGCGCGGGTGCAGGGGCGAGCTTCCAAAGCATTAATTCCACATAACGAGGCTGGTTTTAATCAGTTAGGAAGAATGTCCACATTCCAAAAAGTGAACCTCTGCCATCCCTTACGTCACTTTTTCATTGTTGCCAGTAGAGACTTTCAGTTTAAGAAATGTGGTTAAAATCGGGATTTAATATTTAGCTAAACAAAACATATTTTGGCCCAATATTTAGGTTATTATTTCAGCAATATTTGTTGGTGTGTTTAGAAAAATTTTCAGGGAAATCGTGGACTATAAAAAAACGCCCGAGTACCCCTAACAATACGAGAATTTATGCAGCCGTCACGTAGTCTGAGCCGGAGCCAGGTCGTAGCCGTATACCGTACTTTCTGAAGCGACCCAAGGGTGACATCATCAGCTAAACTTGGCGGGTTTTTGCCACTGCAGATTACAGCGTCACGTGGCCGGTGTACTACGTATCACGGTGTTCCCCAATGCCGTGTCACGTGACGTGACGTCACGTAACGTCACGTAACGTCACGTGACTCGCGGTGCGAAGTCGTGGCGTAATGTCGCGCCCTGGTGTCAAGAATGTTATAAGATCTTGTAACGTCGGGTCTCAAGTTGTGGTGCCACGTGAAGTAACACTTTCACGCTGCCTAGATTTGCGCATACGGATATCGCTAATGCAGTCTGCATACGGGGCGTCTGGATGGTACGTCA